CAACCCACCACTGTACCAGTTAATGGCAATGAAATCGTTGAACGCTTTCGTGTCAACTGGTTTATGGGAGGATCGAGCGATGAACGCTTTATTTATATAAATAAATAGTACATAAAACCAACTTTATACGAGTAAACTGCAGGTCACGTGACGTTCATCAGCGCAACCGAAAGCGGACACAGCTTTTTTAGCGCGTAAAGTGACAAAAATTTTAAATGAAAATTCACTGCTGTGGTATTTTTACTCCACCAAATTTTTATTTTCATTATTTATATTCATTTCTTTTTTTATACGTGAATTAAGAGCGACCGCAAATATTCATTTGCCATTTGGCCAGTAAACTTTAACCGAACTCACACACTTACCCAGAACACCATAAATGAGGGCTGGAGCTGAGGAGGGGGAGGGACGAGCACGGATTCACCTTCTGATTTTATGATCCCAAGAACTACTAATAAAAAACGGTAAGGGTACGAACCAACGAGCGCGAGAAGCAACGCAAAAGGAAGACGGTAAGAGAGCGAGCGTTTAATGTCACTTCGTGGAATCACACAAGTGCGTGTGTAAAACCGTTTGCTTACACACTTGCCGAACAAGCTGACTAAATGAAAAATAAAAGTTTATTAAAATGCCAAAAACGACAAGAAAAAAGGAAAAACGAAGCAAACAAACAACAAAAACACACCAACAGAGGGGGGAACGCATGTTGCGACTGGCAGCTGTTCTCTGGCTCTTTGTGTATGTGTGCTGGGCTGCCGGTTGCTGTGCATACAAAATGCAATAACATCATCCGCCAAACATAAATAAAATTACGCACGCTTATTTTGCTACGTTTACAACGAAACCAGCAACAAAATAATACAACATGTATAAGCCCATCGTCACTTTAGCCACCGCAAACATCTCAGGTGTGTGGCGCGAGCCCCAGCAACTAGCCCTGCTGTCCGACTTGACCCACGAAACTTGTCACAGCACACCTCAAACCGCAACCGGATGCCACCGCCGGACAGCCACAGCCGCAGGCCGCGCACTGGCCGCGATGTCATTGGCGTTGTGGTGCGGCTGGCCACACGCTTTTCATTTTATTTCGAACTGAAACCCGAAAACGACGGCGCATTTTCGCCTATAAAGCACTTCAACGAAATAGGCAGTGAAACACGGGTAAACAAAAACAACAGTAACAACCCGAAAACACCAAATTTCACGGTGTATTACGACAAGCGCAAAAATCAAAAAGTTAAATTGTTCCTCTCAAACAAATACTTTTCACAAAAAAAAAAAAAAAATGCAGTGAAAAAAGTGTCTTTGCCGAAAGCTGAAAAATTTCTGCATAAACAACGGTGAAAAGTTTTAACTTTTTAAATTGCGCGTCACCGTGATTTTTACGCGCGTTCGCTGAAACATAACCACAATTACAGCTGGGCAAAGAGATATTAAATTAGAACAACAACGCATAGTTTTAGCGAGAATTTGAAAGTAAGCAAGAAAAAAACATTAACTTCAGCTGACCCGAAGCTGTAGTACCCTTTACAAATAAAAATAATTTGATTTTGATCAATCAGTTTGCATGCTTCATCTCATATACTTTATACGGTCTCCGACGTTTCCTTCTGGGTGTTACAAACTTCAGGGTAGAAACATCTAGAAAAGTCGAAAAGTGCCTGGTTTGGTTAGATTAGGGATTGATAACTGAAATACAGATCGCGATCTAAAAAGTTTATAATGCCAATAATGAATGTTTTATTATGAGTTTGTTCATATTAAAAGTTTTCAAGGCGAAGCATAGCAAACCGAAGCAAAATGTTGGGCAATTCTCATTTTTTATTCTTTGACAAGCAGTAATGGTTATATTTATTACTAATTTGAATTGAATTGTAATACATCAAATTAGTTGATCGAATCAATTAAGTGAATAAACAAAGCTCAAAATATTAAATATCGGAGTTCAGTCAATAGAAAAGACCACCGTTACAATAGATGATCAGAATTTAAACTTTTGTTATTAACTTTATTTTGTTATTTAGAGAAGTCAATTAGAGAAGTTTTACTTCACTCCTAACATACGAACAACATAACTCTCAGCTCATAGGGCAGTAAACCGTACTCCCTCAAGGGGAAAGCAATTTTATCTAATTACAAGCGGGCAGTATTTATTCCTTTTTTTCTTCAAATGTTTATGATAGTTGTAACTTACGGTACTGGCTTATATCGACTCGGGGAAGCAATCATTATGGAAGCTAACGCACTTGGCGGTACTTAATACTTCTAAGTATGGTATAATAATACAGGCAAATCCAGTTCCACTTTTTTCATTTTCTCATACGATGTCGAACAGTAATCAAATGATACAACGATGCTAAATATGATCGTAGATTGGTACAATAATTTTTATGGTTGTGTGAAGTTTGATCTCTATATGACAATTAGTGTGAGCTTGGCAGCTGTTTGTTTCCGACGCAAAAGTTTTGTCTGGCGAATTGTACCATGAAAAAAATTGAACAACGAGTTTTCTTGAAATTTTGTGTTACCAATGGAATCACGGCTACGGCATCGTAGAAATTGTCGCAGACGTATTTTGCGGACTATATTTTATTACGAAAACAAGTATTTAACAAAGTATTCAGTGAAGATCGGAGATCGAAGTAATCGAAAACTTGCACCATGCGAGTCGTTCATCCATGAAACGAATGTAGCTAAGGACCCTGCATTGATCATTACGGATACCGAGACGTGGGCACAAACCGAAATAACAAAAATTCTCTGAAGGCACTGAAGGTCATCTCAGACGAAGCTTATATTAAATTTTTGGGAAATTGGATTCAGGAGTATTTTTTGCAAACGATAACTAAGATTTTAATTCATAAATGTTTTTTTTTTAAATCTCACAGATGTAGCTTCTCCGGCTTTTATAATCCATGACCCATCTGGTAGATATGTGAATCCATGACGACTTTTGTGAATTGCTGGAGGTTGAGTTGAATTGTTTATTTTCCATAAATCCGAATAAATATTATCTATGGTACTTAGAACAAAAATGTCAATACAGTATAAACTAGAATGAAAGATTTTACTGAATTCTAAAAGCAACGTGATAGACACGAAGACTTCTATTGGATAGGCAAAAAATTGTTGTGCTTTTAGAAAGATAGAAGCGATTTCTCTGTCCATCAATTCAATTCATACAAAACACTCTCAAATTACCCACTTATGTGATATTAACCAACCATATAATTGGGAAAGAAGGGGTTCAAGTGAGTGTATAGGTAAATCTGTGAACCAAAAAAGTCACAAAAAAATAAAAGTTGTACCAAAAACAAAAAAAAAAAACTTTTTGCTAAAACGAATAAACAAGGACTTAAACCAGTTACAATAAAAACTCCAAACATGCATCAGTCAACCTTACGCTCGTCAAGTCAAGTCCCTTGTTCGCAGCCTTCACAGTCACCTCTGAGCGCATCGTGTCGTTGTGGGGTAGTTAAGCACATTCCTTGAATCCTTGGGCATGAGCGCGTGCCAACAACAAAAAAAATTTACAAGTTTCCCATAAAATCTGTTTAATGTCAACACACCGTTTAAAAGTGACAACTTGTCAGCGCAGTTGATGTCTTTCTTTGACTGTGTCACGTGTGCGCGACTTAAATTTTTCGCAGAATTGAAAACGATTGATATCTTTTTCATCGTGTCCGCAGTGACACGAGCGAAATGTGTAGTTGTTTTACAACTGTCACTTTTGCTCTCTCCTCTCAATTGTCTTTTTGTTGTTGCCGTTGCAGTTTGAAATGTTAACGGTAGTTTAACTGTCAGAATATGCTTAGATCCAGCGCTGAGGAATGGCAGTTTAACTGAATGGTACCGTTATGCCCAAATGTCAAAAATGATAATACTTCTTCACACATACAAAAGAAATGATTTTGAGGAAACGAATTAAAATACTATTTTATGCAGTTCTGGTAAAATTCTACGTGCTTTAAGGGTCAAAAACTTAACTTTCTTCTAAATGTTATAGTTTCGAAAATTTAATCCAATGTTAGTTTATTTATTAGTATCAGTATCATTTATGTAATTTCTGTTCGAGGCATCCTTTGCACAAACCAATTATATACATATCTACTGAAGAGGCAGGGGCAATGACAAAGCAGCTCAATGTTCTCATGATATGTTCGAGAAAGAGAGGGAGAGATTAATGAACGACTGTCTGAACCGCTGAAATCGCATTATGACAACGATGGGCAAAGGCTTTGTCATATGTAAAATGCCATCACAATTGACTCAAACCGGCCAAACCTAAAACAAACGAAAAAAGAACAAACCGTTCCAGGCAAAGCTACAATTTCTTTCCAAACAAATTGTTTCGATTGGAGAACTATGGCATATATGGAGCTGTCATACAGATAGACCAATCAAATTCAAGTTCTTGTACGGAAACCTTTTATAGCTTCGGTACAACCGAAGTTAACGTTTTTGAAGTATTTTTTGAAAACCAGAAGAAAAGGTGCGCAAAGCAAATATAAATCCATCCGATATTTTTTGATGATTATTATATAAAAGCTCTACATTTTTTTATAAATCTTTCCGTTACGTTACAAGGTATAATCAAAAACCATCCATTTGTTTTTATTTTTTTGTGTATTACATCAATTTCAGGGAAAAGCGCTGAAATTCTTTTAATTATTATAAATTTAAAGTACATATCTTTACCGTTATACTCTTAATAATGTTCACATTGTGCTTTAATAACTTTCGATTTCTTAGCATGGAGTACTACACACTTCTGTTACCTAACTCAACACACTGCTACACTAAATTGCTCATAAGGTCTCAAGTACTTCACATTTGTCTTAGCTTAGTTACTACCAATATTATTACAAAAGCTTTCAAATGTTTCTTTGTGTTATTTTTATCACTACAACGCTGTTTGCAGTCGCTACCCTTCCTTTTTTTGTTATTTTTGTTATAATGCAAAATTTATGTACATTCAAATCAATGTAAATAAAACTGACCTCATTTGTATTCCACCGATGTCGCTGTGACGGGAAACTGTCAGCTCTTGGCAAGCTTTCCAAATTGTCTGGAAGTTTGATAGGTTCGCCATCTGTAAAGGAAATTAAAATAAACGAAATGGAATGAGTTATTTGCGCTCAAAATGCAACGTTGTCAAATGACAGAGAGCAATAGACAAAATCAAACAGTAAACAAGAACTATAAAGTAAAACAGCAATACAAACAACAAGCAATCACCCGAACTTGCAATAAAAAATCAATTTATTCCATACGAAATGTTTGCATTAAGACACACTTAGAGGCGCAACGAAACAACGAACGGTGGCCGAACGTGAGGCACTCGCTTGGAAAATGCGCACATTAATGGCGCTGGACGCAGATTATTTCAATTTAACTATCGCTCAGCATTATTTAGGAGCGGGTTCCGAGGGTGCTTGAAATGCAAAACAAATGATAAATAAATGCCGGCGAAGCATCGTTATGATTTCTTATGAACTTTTCAAGAAGAAAGAGAAGAGCACTTCACTAACTTGACACTGATCTCCCAAAATGCTCGCCATAAGTCATAAGTCAGGTGTAAATATTATGCATACGTGAGTATATTAAATTTGATTTATTGCTTGGAATATTAACTTTCACTTTGCGTTGAAATACACAGATACACCCATCCATTCATATCCCATATGGTCGTTTCATTTATCATATTTGAGCTGGGACGCAATCCACAAACTCACTTACCCAACGCTAAGTAAAGTTTATAAAAGTATATAATTATACATATAAGTGTGCAGGAATGTAATTTGTCTAAGAAAATAATAATGTCGGTCAAAGGAATGAGTTCAGCGATTAAGCGTGTAATTAGCCTACAGGTAACTTAACATTTCTCAATTTTTATGTTAAGTTAAGTAAACTGACAGCGATAAGTTTTTCACTTGAATTATTTTTATTTATTGCCATAATCCCAGAAAAATATGTATGTATGTGAATTTAATATGTATTAACTCTAATTTATTGGAGCTAAATTGGATTAATATTAATTTACTCAGCCTATGAAAAGGTTGCCAGGTGCAAAACCTAAAACTTTTATAATTTGATCTTGAAACAAACCTGTGTCATTAGTAGCAATGCTGTGCTACAAACTCTGGAAATAAATTGTTCACGATTCTTGATTTTAAGACTAACAAGTAAGGAATGGCTAAGTTCCGATGTAACCGAACATTTTATACTCTCGCAAAGTCAAATGGTATACTCGTTTTAGATTTCTTTGTGGATCTTGCCGCCTTGTTCTATGTTGACCGATATTTTCGGTAAAAAGTCAGCTATAGGCACTGAGGTCCACATATTCATTACCTAGGGGCTTGAACAGTTTTGACTCGACTTAGACAATTTTTGGTCACAAATTGGCATATTTCAAACGCATTATTCACGCAAAGTTTTACCCCGATACAATCAGTTTTGCTTGATATGCATAGTGGAAAGTGAAAGAATCAGATGGAATTGAAAATGGTCATCTGAAAGTGGGCATATGCAGTTAAATTTTTTTTAAGTGGGCGTGGCCCCGCCTCTAATAAGTTTAATGTGCATATCTCCTAAACCGCTAATGCTATAATAACAAAACTCACTGGAAGCAAATATTTTTAGAACTTTTACCTACAGTGTGAAAATAGTTGAAATCTGGTGGCAACTCCGCCCTCTCCCCATATAACGGTACTGTTAAAAACTACTAAAAGCGCGATAAATCAAGCGCTAAACACACCAGAGACATTAAATTTTATCTCTGGGATGGTATGAAAAGACTTTATAGAAACCGCGTTCAAAATTAGTCAGTGGGCGTGGCACCGCCCACTTTTAGGTGAAACCCCATATCTTGAGATCCGCTTAAACAAATTCGGTGCATAACGTTCTTTTCATATTTCTATGTTATAGTGCGAAAATGGACGAAATCGGACTACAACCACGCCTATTTCCCATATAACACCATTTTAAATTCCATCTGATTCTTTCAGTTTCCACTATGCATATCAAGCAACAATTGTTGTATCGGGGTACAACTTTGCGTGAATAATACGTTTAAAGTATGCCACCTTGTGACCAAAAATTGTCTAAATCGAACCAAAACTGTTCAAGCCCCTAAGTACTAAATATGTGGGCCCCAGTGACTATAGTTGACCTTCTACCGAAAATATCAGTCAATCCACAAAGAAATTTCAAACGTATATAATTTAACTTTGCGAGAGTGAAAAATGTTCGGTTACATCCGAACTTAGCCCTTTCTTACTTGTTTTTTTTATTATTTTTGTTTTTTGATGAATAGAATAATGCGGTGAAAAATACGTGTTAGCATTTTTATACTCTCGCATCAATCAAACATGGATATTTCAATATAATGAGGTTATTCTAATTTTGGAAAAAGTTCAAAAATTATTTAAAGTTAATTTTTTAATACTAATGAATTTATGTGGAAACAATGAAGCGTACTTTTTGACCGCACTGATCTACTCGAGCACGCAAGTGCATAATGAAAAGTACTGAAATTGTTTTCGACGCTCATAACGCGCATATATAAAGCTAAGACAAAATCCAGATTTTTGCATTAAATTGACGGTTTTATTTATCATTGTTAGAATTATTCAATTTAGGTGAAATAAGCTCCGTTTTTTGGAAAACTTGTTGACAGTTTGAAAGTAATTTCATAATACCACCTTCGTGGAAACCCTCGTTCCTATTGGCAAAAAATTTTAACAGTCGATTTTAAAAAGCTTCTCTTGAGGCGAACTTTTTACCAGCAAAATCATTCGCCATATACTGGAACAGCTAATAATCACTTGATGCCCGGTCCAAACTATATGGTGGTTGCATAAAATTATTAAAAACAAGCTCTCAGAGTTTCTAGCGAGTCACTATCGATGTGTGTGGTCTGGCGTTGTTCTAATGGCACACAATTTCTCTCCTTTTAGTCAAAACTCGCCACTTCTAGGCGATTTCTTACTTCAGACGGTTCAATTGTTGACAGTACAGGTCCGAATAAAGAGCGCTTTAGCGTGACGTTGTCGTTAGTGACCCACTGGTTATTACCTGTAACAAACCGCTTCAGAAATGGTTCGATTTCGTTGCCTTCAGCAGCGATACGCAGATGAAAATTCGAACCATGAAGTTTTTTGAGTTAACTAGCGTGAGACCTGTTCATCGATCTTCTGTTTATATCCAGCCTTGTTAAAATGGTAACAAATGATTTTTTGTGACATGTTTAGATCCTAGGCAATCCAAACCGTGCTGACATGATCGGTGTACGTCGACGATTTTCATTATTTTATAGATATTTTTGACAATTGGCTTTCCAAAACACTTCGTGCATAGTTGATATCCAAATTATTAGAACAGAATCTACAAAACCAGAATTGAGCATGAATGAGCCCTAATCATTATATAAACACTATTCATATTTTCAGTCACTTAGCTTTCGATTTCGCCTTTACTGAAAAATAACTGCACATATATATGCGAGACAGAGATTACTGTAGTCATCTATTGGAAAAATAATGAATTTCTTCTTACTAAACCTAACACTAGGCAGGGTCGCAAACAATGTCTTAAAAAAATAATTGAATCCGATAAATTAATCCACAAATCGGATTGAAGAATAAAAAAACAAAAATTGTTAATCTCAAGAACATTTAGGAATTAAAAAAAATTGTTTTAGAATTAACATTTTTTCGCGTTTGCGCACTTCATTCAAATAAAAAAATAAAATGTTCATTTTTATAATTTTAATCCCAAACCTATTGAATTATAAATAAAAATCAAACCTTTAATCGCAACATTAGGATTAAAAAATGAAGATTTCAATGCTCAGGAATTATATACTTATATATAAATATTAATTTAGTCTTCAATAAAATTATTAGACAGACTAGAAAATGATGATGGCTATAATATATTAAAATGTAACTCAAACAACGTTCCAAAACTATTATTATGTTTTGCCAATTTTAAAACATTTTTTGCTGATCAAAACAAGACAAGCAATTAATGTCTGATTTGACAAACTTTTATCTCTAAGTCTAGTCATTAATACCAAGTTGCATAAGTCTCTGCCAACGTTAAGTAGGTATAAGAATAGATAGCAATTATTTCATTATTGGCAATTATTGTGAACTACAACATCTTCGGATATTTATTACCTTAAAATAACAACAAATACTTTTTATACCTAAAAATCGGTTTCGCATAAATACGATAGTAATAAAATTCCACTATCAGCCCTAAATAACCTTCAGCGTCACACTAAAACCATAATATTTTACAATTTTACGAGTTCTGTTGCAAGTTAACAACTATTGCGGCACAAAGAACCAAATACCAACCGATGAATAATTACTTCTTGCACTTAAAGCAGCCCCTTCCTCCACGTTTTCCACTTTACAACTCATCTACGACTACAACAACACACCAAAGCCAACGGCGAAGTTTATTAAAATGTCAAACAACAAAAAATAATAATCATTTATATAGAAATTAAGGACAGTAGGTAGTAGGTAAGCAGCCAAGACTTTCACATTGCCACTAACTTGCGGGCAAGTTATTTAGTGGCAACTACTTATCCAAGCACGGTCACATCGAAGACAACAAAGCCACTAAGGCAGCGCGAATCGAGTCTTCGAATGCGATTTTTATGTGTTTTTCTTTGTTGTTGTTGTTGCACTGATGGCTCGTTAGTAAAACTAATATATCAAATCAATTTTTATGGTTAGCATTCATTGCGTTCGGTCCGCACGCAGCGCGCTTTGGCCAACGAAGCGGAAGGTCGAAGGGGCGAGCGGGTGCGGAGGAACGTATGGGAAAAGGGAAAAATTTCAAAAACTGCACTTACTCGTAAACTAAAAAATGTAATTTATTTGCTTACATAAACGCGGCAAACGTACATATGTATTACGTGTGTCTGTAGTTATGTCTCATTGATGCCAAATTAATGTACATAGTGGTTGGCCTAACGCTCAGACGTGCGCCACAAATGATTTCAATAAACAAGTAACCACCAAAAAAGCGTCGATGATCAATGCCAAGCAGCCAGGGCGTATACGTGATTTTTAT